AGCCGTCCTGAAATGAATTACTGGTTAACTACTATTAATATGCCATAGAGCTGGAGAGTCGTCTACAACACTGCAAGATCAATAACAGTATTTATCGTACATCATATTGATCTTCTATGAAAGAGTGGGCCATATTTCACACCGTGTACATGGTGCAAAAAAGTAGCATCGGTTTTCTACAGGAATTAGTAAAGACATAGAAAAGAGTTTAGAGATCCAAGGGCACAACTGCATGAGGTGGTACTATTGTCTCACTGCAAGAGTGTTGCTCACATATGGAGAGCCTCTGATGGCCCTACATTGTAGATTTGGTGTTTCAAAAACTGAGCAAGAATTTTAACCCCTCTTTTTTGGTTGGAGTTTCTGTTCCTTCTTGTACAGGTTCAGTCCTGTATTTTTAATCATGTCATGTTTGCAACTTGCAAAATGTTAAAAATTGTGGCTAGTGACAGGGCAAAGACCCAGGAGTCCTTCACAGTTTTTCCATGTGAAGGGTGAAGACAACCAAGGCGAGAGCCCAGCTCCTGCAGCAGCCCCCTTGTTTTAAAGGGCAGGTGGAGGGGCAGAGGAGCAGTTGCCTTGTTGAGAGCTTAATTCCTCTTGAAAATTGCTCCCCTTAGAGCTATGAACCTTAGGGCTGCCACTTCTGTGCAGGTGTTGTAATGCAGTAAGCTCTGAGGCAGGGGAGGACCCTCTTTTTGTCAGCAGAGCCATTCAGCTGTGTTGACTTACTTGTGGGGAAAAAAAAGCCCACATAACCCACCAGGCTGAAAGCTGCTTTCTTAACCTTGGTATTCTCTCCTTGCTGGTGGAAAACAGCCACGGACTGACAGCATCTGTTGAGGTGGACACCTTGCTCTTTGAGCAGCTGGAGGCAAGGCTGTGGGAAGGTTCAGCCTGTAGGTGGGATCAGGAATTACAACGTACAGACCAAAGATCAAGCAGAGGATCCCCAGTTAGTTAATGTTTAGTTACAGCCATTGCTTCCAATAGATTTCCCCTATTCTGCAAACAGGGGCTGTGCCTGAGGATGCTGCAGCACAGAAGCAGTGTGCTTGCCTGCCAGCTGGCTAGCAAACTTCAGCTGGAGGAAACCTGCATGGATAGGGCAAAAACTCCCTGGGAATATGATAAACATGAAATCTCTGGGAGATATCCCAAGTGCCCTGTTTTATCCCTAGGATGGTTTAGCATGGTTCTTCAGCCTTTAATTCTGCTTCTCTTGGCCCTTAGCACATTGTTGAAGGTACCCCATGCAGGTACTGGCTGGTCTGACCTACTTTGCTTCCTGAGCTTTCATTGCCCAGGAAAAAAGTCAAGACTTTCAGGGCTTTCTTCATTATAACAAAACTCTTTCCCCCAAATGTATTTATAGTTGTGTATGTTCTATACGTGTTGTATATGTACGATGTATGCATTAGTAGTAGGAGATGACATGATTCAGCTGGGCTGGATGGGATAAGAACATAGAACTGGACTGCAGACCTGCCCTTGCCCATGCCAGAGTCACTGAAGACCTGCAAGAGCTCAGCTCTTCAGAGGCATCCTGCCCTCAGGCTGACTGGCTCAAGTAACCTATATGGTGCTTTGACCTGGTCTGACATGACATCCACCTACAGTCTAGATGGCATGAAGCTATGTCTTGTATGACATGATGACATGTCCCCCTTCTCCCAAGTGAAGCACTGAATCTCCTCCAGATGCTATATAGAAAAGAGCAGAGACTTGTCCCAAAGCATGACATCAAAGAAAATCTCATCTCCTAATTTGGGGAAAAGTGTGAGTGGAAACATGTGGCAGTTTTCTACCATTTTTTGTCAGATGTTGCCAGTCCTTCCATCTTCAGAAGCATGATGTAGCTTGGGTTTTAGGAAAAATTAACTCTTCTGGCCATCTTTCCAGCACCATCACAGAAGTCCTAGTTCTTTATGAAATTGGTATGTCTGTCCCTTCACCTGAACTTTCCCCTATCCCATGACTCCTGATTTTATTGTTAATCTGCTGGGGCACGTTCCTGTGGTGTGGCTGCAGCTCAGAAGTTGTGTGCCAGGGATGTTATGAGGACCATGGATTCCGTAATTCTGTGTTTATAAAAAAAAAAATGCCCCAGGCTGCCTGGGGATTTATGTGTATGGGTGTATGGATGGCTGAATGAGCAGGTGACCAGCTCTACAGACTTAATATTGAGTCTTGAGAGGGCAGCTGGTAGTACTATAGAGGCTACTGGGAGAGTGGAGCAATGGCAGAAGGAAAGTAGAGGACTGTTCTGGTGGATTTGTAACAGCCCTGAGCACTGAACAGCTGATGGCTGTTGTGCAGCTAGATAAAGGAAAAATAGGTGTCAGCAAGTCAACCCTTTTGCATCTCCAGTGGCAAGTGATGGTAGCTCCAAGCACAGATAGGAGGTAGAAGGAGAAAAGAATGGGCAAAAAGCATATTTTCTTCTCCTACTTAATGCAACAGAAGACTGCCACCACTGGTCTTCCTTCAGGAAGGAACTCTAGCACTACCAGCCACTGGAACATCCCAGACACATCAAGGACGTTTCTGTGATTTTGTGTGTAGCTATGGGCAGGTCTCTGTTCTAGCCTAGCTCTTCTTGTCCCATGTTAGGAAGCGCAGTGCATGAGACAATTCCAGAAGTTGTAGCAAAACCTGCTATTTTCTCCCCCTCTTCCTTTTAGCTGCTGATATTTCAGAGTGGCTCACCTTTCTTGTGTAAAAGTGAGCCTCGTCTTCCTGGGTGTAGGTGTAGAGAGGCCTCATCTTCCTGGTATTAGTATTCTTAGCAGAAGGTATTATCCCTTCTTAGGATGTACTGCAAGTATAACAACACTGCAGAGGTTTTGGGAGAAATTGCACATCTGTGCAGCATAGCATAGGCCTGCCAGAAGTTCTGTGGCTGGTTGCCTTGCATATCTCTGTTTCATGTGAAATCTGTATGCCAGCAGGAAAAGTATTGGAGGATTTTGCTTTTGGCTTCTATTTTACAGCATGAAAAGCAGAACAATTGGACTGCAGCTTTATTTGGGAGCTAAGTTTGGCGATAGGAGTCAGGCTTGTGCTGTGATTTATCAGAATTGGCTTTTCAGTGCCAGTGGTCTAAGTTCTGATTTTATCAAAGGCACAGACAAAAGGACTTGAAGAGAGGCCTGACCAGAAGCAGAATAATAGCAATAATAAAATTCCATAAAAATATGGAAGTGCAAAAACTGTGAAGGGTCTTCGCGGCATTGCAGACTTCTCTGTTCTGTGTGCAAATTTGAGAAGTACTCAAAACGAAAAAGGCCAGCTGGCTTGGTTCTCGCTCATATAGGGCTGAGTGGCAAAAAGTCAGATGCAGGAGGCATAAAACACTGTTTGCTAGTAAATGGGTGTAGTTCACTGATGTCAGCAAAATGTCATCAAGAGCTGAATGGGGACACTGTATAATTTAGTGACCTGGAAGGAGACTATCCATGATTGCAGAGAGCTTTCAATACAGATGAAAAAGTTACTGCAAGAACTGCACTGTAAATGGCAATAATTGGAAACACTGATCATTGGATCCAGTGTACAGCTAATACAAAGTACAGTGGAAGTTGTTAACCATGACTCGAGGCTGGTAAATGCAACCATATTCACTTTGCAAGTAAGTAAACAAGGTACACATATACCAAGAGAAAGATGCAGAGCAAACTTGGCAAAGTCAGATGCCTGACATCTCTCTTGGGGCTGTTATTTCATATGTGTCAACTGTCCATGCTCTTTCATCTCCATACTGATAGCTCTTGAGAGCTCATCAGTATGATGAGCCACATCTTTTCTCCTCCATGGTAGAGGTAGACCACATCACAAGAAGACCAGGAGCACCTCACAGAAAGGATCATTATGCTGCAAACACTGTAAGGGTTGGTGCAGGGCAGGGTTACAGGAGTGCAGGCTAGAACCAGAGTTGCAGGGATGGTTATGATTTACAGTTGCTGCCTTGTTCATTATGTAAATATATATTCACCATGTGGTTAGTCTTTCTAAGGTTGTAGTTTTTTTCTGTGCCTGACTTGGCCAGGTAGCTGATGAAGTGTTGTCAGAGAGAGCTTGGCTGTGGAACGGTACCAAGAAGCACCCTCTTTTTTCATCCTTGAAAATATGGCAAGGCAGTGGTTGACACTGGAGTGAGGAAAACAGGACTTAAAACATCCTCTGAGAAGCACTCCCCATCTTAAGGAGCAACAGGGAAGGCAGACCTTTGTGGGGACAGCCTGCAGGGAGTGCAGCTGGCTGACCTCCAGTCTGGAGGTACTTGGGAGTGCAAGCAGCAAGTCATGAGCAGTTCCCTCCTCCTCCTTCTCTTTTGCCAGTGGTGTGGGAGCTTGTTCTGCTCTGTGATTTTGTAGGTAAACAAGAGCTAAATGCGGGTATGGAGGCTGGGCAAAGATTGAGGGCCTTGTTGCTCAGAGGTAGCACATGGGTTTCTGAGACACCTTGGCTGATTTTGCGGTGCTTTCCCTACTGCATCTTCTCCTGGTCTTGTGGCTGTTTGCCCTGTTTGCCCTTTCTAGAGGCATGTTCAGAAAGTGTCCTCTTACCTGCAGGACACTGGCTGGAGAGGGGTCATCCTGTAACAAGAGCCTTTTTGTTTCCAGGTATTTATAAGGGACTTGGCATGCTATTACAATTTGAAAATAATAAGGGGCTGCATCTTTAGCTGGTGTAACTCATCACTGGATGAATTGATGCTGCTTGAGGACTTCGTGTACTGTCTTAACCTGCGGCTGGTTTTGTCTCCTGTTTTGCAGTCTGCGGTGTGTGTAGGTAGTGGTCTCAGGCTTTGAATGGTCGTCAGTCCACTTGAGTTTCTACCAAACATCCAACTGTGTTTCCCTTTCAACTCCCACCTCTTCCTATTTACTACTCTCTGTCCAGCCTTCAGGAAAAGTAGTAGCTCTTCAGAAGGTGAAAGGTAAGGATCTTCATGGAGCCTCCTGTTTCATAATGGCTTTTTTTTTTTTCTTTTCCAGAGGGACGGATGGTCATTCAGGACATCCCTTCCATCCCCAGCAGAGGGCACTTGGAGAGCACATCTGATTTAGTTGTGGACTCCACCTACTACAGCAGTTTTTACCAGCCGTCCCTGTATCCTTACTATAACAACCTATACAACTACTCTCAATACCAAATGGCAGTGGCCAGTGAGCCCTCCTCAAGTGAGATGGGGGGTCCAATTGTAGGGTCAGCCATGAAAAACAGTCTTCGAAGCCTCCCAGCAACATACTTGCCAAGCCAGTCAGGAAAACAGTGGCAGGTATGATGTTACTGAGGTGGACAATAAGCTGGTTTTTGGGCTGATTGTGACCTTCTGTTTGCTGGTCATGGCAATGCAAAACCAGAACCAGATACCAAGGTGGGATTAGGACCCATGTTAGGAAAGTTAGCTGAAAGGGTTGTTATGATGCAGCACAACAAAAGCAACAATACAGGTATAGGTAGGTTGCCTCAAGTACAGATAAAGGGCACCCACTTGATTTTATCTTCTGAGTTATGTCATAGTAAATTATGGGCTGTTTTCTGGAAGAAGAGTCCCAACTGAATTACCCAACATAGCATCCTGTGAGCTTCAGGTGTCATTTCTGAGACGCTTTGCTCTTCAGGAATCTGTTTTTTTCTCTTCTGTCTTCTACATTCAAAGTGCTGAAGTGATCCAGGAGACCACGCTGTTGTGCAAAGGGTTGGTGGCAGTAAGTTGAATGTGACATGGTGTTTTGCTAATCGTGTGTTCTGGCAGTGTCAACTTGCAGTTTCAACTTGGATATCTCAGGTTACAGGCTGTGCTTGAGAGGTTCACATCAGAGCTCTGTGAACTTAGGGTATGATGCCATCCAAGTCCTCTCACTCTAGGCCTTGTTAATTGTAGCCTCTAACTCAGTACTAGTGGAAGGCTGAGAAAAGGGGAAATCTGCCATGGCAGGGGATTCTCGGCAAAGTAAGTAGAGCCATTTGAATGACCCTGAGGCTGTTTGGTCTTGGGCTGCAGTGGTGGTTTTCTGTCTGAGATTGAACTCAAGAGGCTACACTCTCTGAGTGTAAATGCCTGTGTCCCTTGTTCAAGGGCAGGAGAGGGCAGACTTCTCCTGGAGAGCATCAAGAGAGGACACACTGTCCTCTGAAGGCTGTGTTGTGAAACCACTAACAATGAAAGATTAAATGTCCACCAAAACCTCCTTTCTGAAGGGAACAGATGGATGGTCCCCTTTGCTAACAGAGAATTCCTCTAACAATTCTGGCACAGGGACCAAATCTGAAAGGGCATTTTAACTTAACAATACTGAAGGGCTGCAACTAAGACCAGGGTGATTACAATTGCTGTAGTAGTCCACATCACCTTCAGTAAGTCTTTGCTATTATTAGACACTGTTCGTGGAAAAGTCCTGAAAATGCAGGAAGCACCTAGGGCAACAGATGGCAGGTACATGAATTTTAATATCATGGCTTTGCAGAAATCTGCATTTAGTACTATTTCATGTCCCTTTTTTGCCATGAGTATAATTGTATGAGGAAAAGAGCTGTCTCCTTCTGCTATGTGAGCCCACACCATGAGAGCTTTCTTCTCTCAGGGTGTGCTGATAGGCTTCACTGCAGTCACCTTCAAATACATAGAGGTATACCTGTTCGGTTAGGTTAGTTGGTAGCTTCCACTCTAGCTGCTGAATTTGATCACCAGACCAGGGGGACAGTTAGTCAAGGCAAGCTGGTGATAGGATTCTGTGCATGGTAATGAGATGAGGTGCCATTGCTTTTTTAGCTTTTTCAGTTTGGTTGATTCAGTTAACCTGGCAAGTCATAGCAGAGTAGGTTAGTTCTTTTGAAGCTTTTGCAGTACCTAGCTTGTAAGAGCCTACTGGAGATCTGATGCTTGGAGACACCATCATAACACAAATGAAGGGCAGCAATATTTGTCTTGTGAAAATAATGTTCTTGTGGGCTGCTAGTCCCACCTGTCACCATTCCTCCAACCAGTAGAGACTTCTGTGATTTTACTTGCTTGGGAAAAGGAAAGTAAATTACAGGTATTGACTGTCCTAGCACAGAGTGTTTGAGGAAGAGGTACATAAGGGTATGTTAAAATATTTTAAAACTTAGAATGAAGATGGTGTCCTCTCAGTTCTGTTGTCATGTACTGTCATTTGAAACTAGACTGTATGTTTAAGAAGTCTTGGCCTAGAGGGTCCATTGGCAGTTTTTTGTGGGACCTTTGACATCCCTTACAGAAATAAAAGCAATATTGTGTTTTCCATACATTTTTCTCTTGGGGTCCTGTGGAATCTGTAACTAACATCTGCTTAAGTGCCGCTCAGATTAAGGGGATACTGAAGAGATGATTAAGGAAAATAGGAGGTGGTTGTTGTCAAAAAGGACCGTTTTTCTTCCATCAGCAGGCTCCAAGCATTGGGTGTTCTTTCCCACCTTGTGGGATGTACTGCATGGTGCTGTTCACTTCTGTGTGAATTTAGTGATTGACCTTACCTAAGATTTTAATTTCTCCTGGCTAAACCTTTTGAGATCTCTCAGTGCTTCTCTGGCAAGATGTCTGTGCAGAGAGACTAGAGGTAGTGCTTTCTGCCTGCAGAAGTGATATCTCCCCAGCTTCTAAATGGCCTAAAAGAGAACCCTCTCGTGTTCTGTAGGGCAGAGTGTAGTTCAAGGTCAGTGTCATGTAACTTACAGGCTGCTTCTCAAAGGCTGATCTGCAAGAAGGATTGTTATTGCTGGAAGAGTTACGAATCGTGGGGTTTGCACACTGTTATGACAGCATAACATTGCACAAATAATAATAAAAAGTTTTAGTGAGAGCTAGGCTAGATAATGCTTGATAGCGGTGGGTGCAGTGATGCTGAGGTTGTAAAACACTGTGTGGCACTGAAGATGGTTTGTTGTAAGGGGAACGAGCTCTCAGCTGCTGCATGTGGTTAAACATTGATTCTGCGCCTGGAAGGTTACCAGCAAGGGAAGATCATAGAAATACAGTGTTAAATGGAGAAGGATGAATGAGTTTCTCTGTCAAGCATGGTAAGGAGTTACAGGAGAGTTTAAAAGCCTGATCCACAAAGAGGAATCACACCTTGCTTACGCCTTCAGGGGATTTTACTGTTGAACCTATGCAGGCTGATTCTCTCCAGAGGAAACATGTAGCTGTATCTACACAGGGATTTTTGTTGGACTGCCTGTACTGAGTTTATTTTTTACATGCATATGTTTCTTAACCAGTCTTCCAGTATGAGTGAGTCTGCTTATGTGACTGGTAGTGCTATAACTGTTTTGATTGAAGTTTTTGGTTTTTACTTCTTTACTAAAATGATAGTTGTGCAATGCTTTCTGTGACCAGATCAGGGTAGCTTGCTAAGGTATAAGCTCACAGGAGGGTTTCTTTGTTGGTATAAAACACGCATGTGTTCAGTGGAAGGTATCCTAGTTTAAGCAGTATAGACAAGACCCCTGCCTTTTCTGGGCTTTTGTTGGTAGAGGCTCACTTGTTCTGCAATAACTCTAACAACACAAGGAGAATTGCATACTTAAAGTAAGATGACTTCTGGATGCAGACAGGCCTTGAGCAGCCTAGCTGTCTGCTGTTTCAGAATTTAGGGAGCAAGGGAGAGAAGCCAGGGAGGGAGCATGTGAGTGTGTGTGGGATGGGATGAGGATTAATGCATCATTGAGCCTTGGCAAATAAACTGAATCACTGAATCTTTAACGTAGATTAATGTCAGATTTCATTAGTCTTTGTTCTTTCCAGAGGCTCACATACTTGAATGGATTCATAGAGGTGCAATTTTTTAGATATTTCTGTGTAGGTTTTGTTCATTTGTATATAATTACCCCACAAGCTGTATCCGTCATGATTTGATAAGCATAATTTAAGATTATGGTTTGGTTGAGACCCCTTCAGTCGTTTATATTTTGTTACTTTTGCCTGATTTAAGGCAGATAATCAGATATGTCTGGTGTTGCACCTGAAGAAAACACAAATTCAGGATGGAGAGGAAATGTAAAAGATGTGGTGGTTACTGTGCATCTCCTTGTACTCCAGCTCTATGTGAGCATCTGGATGCTCCCTTGAAGCTCTCATAATTGTTCATTACAACAGGAATTTATGTGCATTCAATCCAATTAACAGTTAAATGAGTTCATCAACATCAGTACTGCAAGTCAGAGCATGCTGGTATACAGTGGAAGTTGGTATTTCTGCAACCAGTCTCACTGCAGCCTGCTTAGGGACTGCAACTGGAAGATAATGGGGTGGCTGCAGACTTTTCTACCACAACAAAGGTAAAACCTGGATGGGCACATCCAAATCTAATCAAGTTTAATTTTTCTAGCTGGCTATGAAACTGTTAGCATGTGACCCACAGCGTAAGGATAATCAGGACCCCTTGTGAGTTGGTGTCCTCCCCAAAAAGTTTTAAAACTCTTCTTGTTTCTATTGTTGGACCATTAAAAGTCTGCAAGGTGCAGAATGTGACCCCACACCTAGGGACCAGTGGCTGGTTTTCTTTGTTACTCTGGTAACCAGAGATCCTGTTTCAGAGAAAGGTTAAGGCTGGCCAGGAGATTTTGGACAGATTTCAGAATTTCATGTAATTTCTGTTTCATGCTCTGAGGCAGTTTTGTTCCTTTCAGTCTTTTTTTTTTTAAACATAGCTTGGCGAACCACTATTCTCACTTCCAAAACCTCGACTTTTTTGTTCCTTCCTTAAACCACTTTAGGGCAAAAATCTGGAATAAGTACTGGTGAGAGTCAGATTGAGAAATTTTAACTCATGTTCTAGTATGCAAATTATATTTACTATTTGGAAGTGAAATATTTAGCGTTCCTGAGCTAGGAAACTTTTTAAGGGTTTTTTAAAAAGTAGCAAACATACAAAACTTGTCTTCTACTAAATGCAGAAAAGTGTGGCTGTGATAGGGCAGCTAGTAGTTTGAGCTCTTAAGAACAGTTGTTTGCTGGTAAAAAAGATTGCTCTTTTCAACTTCCACAACCTGTTTCTAGTTTTTGGCACAGTTTTTCCCCCAGTAAGCCTGACCACCTTACAGAAATGTGCGGTCTAACTCTCCAGAAATAGATGTAAATGTGTGTGTGTAAATATATACACATTGTGCAAGTCACCCGACACAATCGCAATTTTATGTGTAAGCAGTGTATTATAAACTGTATTCATAACATACCCTTCACGCTACAGATTTATGCTAAAAGTATCCTAATGTTTCTGACAGCTCATGTGTGACATGAATGCAATCCATATTTCTTGGAGGAGCTAATCTAAGTGGTTTATTTTCCAATACTGCTGATAGGGCTATATCTCTAGGTGTCACCACAGTTGAGATTCTGATGGTAACATATTGTTTATGGGTCACTGCCTTTGTCTAAAAGAATAGGTTGGAACAGAATAGCAAAGGTTAATTAAGTTTGTCTATCAAGGAAGGACAGATATAGATGTCTCTTGTATTTTCTGTGCTGAAATCAAAGTAAGTCAAGGCAGGATATTGTAGACTCATTTTTTCCTCATGCTAGAAAATACGCTTAGCTGGTTTTAGGAACGAAACAAAGCCCCCTGGGGCAGTGCAAGTGCAGCAGTAGTTGTGGGGGTCAGCTCATGGACAATAGCATTGCAAGGTAGTAGAGTAGTGACAGCCCTGGTTTACAACTGGGGAAACTGAGGCAAGGGAGTGTTAAATAACTTGTTCATAGTCACACAGCTCACAGGTGGTAGAGTGGAGATTCCTAATGTCTGGATTTTCACTCCGGTGCCCAGTGGATGCCTTCTTGCCTCATACCAAAAACTGACCCATGAATTCTGTTGTTTGCAAACAACACATAAATGCAAAATGCAATTTTGTGTCCTTTGTGGCTGGCTTTATTTTTAAGATCAAGGGAGAACGAGGAGACTATGTTAAAACTTCTAATAAATTTTTCTGGTGTTTCCATAATTACTGTTTTTGTTTTAAGGCAGCTGTTGGTGAATCATGTGTGAGCCAGAGGGATGGAAAGCCTGGGTGAAGTGATTTGGCTGAGAACACATGGCACACCAGTGGCAGAGCCAAATGATACACTACTTCGCTCTCTTCTGTTGCTCTGAAATTTTTGCAGCCCTTGTCACCCAGGATTATCTGCAACCTCCTACTTGTCCTTCTTGGGAATAAGCTCCACAGTCAGGAACAACTGCAAAATCTGAAGGTGGCTGCTAAGAGTAACACTGGCTTGCTTGCAAGGAGACGGTGGCTAGCAGCTTCTGCTAATAAAAATTACCAGGGTGATATTTTGTCTGAGTAAATCATCTGGGAGGGGCAGGCTGGAAGAAGTGAACCACCACTTGTGCCTGCCTTGCCTCTTTTCTGTCTCTGGTCTGGCCATCTCCTCTCCTCAGCTCTTCCTCCATGAAGACGTGTAGAGGTTATGCAGGTGCTACCAGGAACTTGGAAGGAGGAGCTGGGCTTTACATTGCTCTTCCACAAACTGTTGAGTAACTTTTTTTTCAGGAATGGTCTGAACTGATGCAAGAACATTTTCTTCATCTTCCCTGGCTTTTGCTACATACTCTGTCACTGTTGGGCATTGCTGTAGGACTGCACTGACTGTTGTGCTCAGTGATGAACAAATCCTGCTTCCAGCCTGCCTGTTTGTGGACGAGCTGTAGCTGCCTCTTGATTCCCCATATTGCCTTCTGAAGGGAACAGAAAGAATTTCCACTGTGTGCATGGTCTTTTAATCGGGCCATACTTATTTGTCCATGATTTATAAGCATCCCACTATCACCTGCAGTACATCTTTTAAAAAGTTACTGAGTGTGCTCTGTGTGGTACAATTTAGGGGAACTCCTAAATATTGAATAAGCCAAATATGCTTCTCTGATGATCTGTGTTTCCCACTGAAGTCAGTGAGGTACTTGGTGAATCAATCCTGCATTTGGGGCAGGGCACAAGTGATGTGTGGCTGGAAGGGGATGCACTGTAAGTGTGCAGCTCAGATGTTCAATTCAAAAACTCACCTTGCTCTCTGCAAAGAGCGAGTGCATGCCCTTCCCTTCCACAGCACTTCCTCACCTAAAACAAGCCTTGTTTTTATGGTGCATCACCTGCAGTGATGCAAACCAGAGTAGTTTGTGGGGACCATCCCAGCCCTTGCCTGTCTTGGTTTAGTTGTAGGGCTGGAAGGGATGAGGAAGGTAGGAGGAGACACCACAGGGCCAGGCATCTCCTCTTGTGATCTCTGCATGACCCCAGCATTCCCCCCGGACAGGACCCAGGGAAAGATCACAAACCTGGCACCTGGCTGCAGTTTGGAAGGCTGGAATGCCCCAGGTTAGAAATAATCTGAATAATCCAGGGCCTCCCCAGGGCTGTTTTTATCCCCCTTTCTGGCACCCCAAAATGTGCAAGGATTCTCCAGAGTTGCAGGAGTTAATGCAGAGTAAATGCCCCTTCTCATGGGGTTATGATCTCCTAAGCCCCCTTTTTAATGCAGTGCTAAGGTCAAGAATTTTTATGACTGGTTGTTTTTTTATTGTTACTGTAAAATAGGATTGCTAAGCACTATAAAAAGGAAACCTTATGGTTCAGATTTACTGTGGTGTGTATTCTAAATAGTTTAATAAAACAAAACCAGAAGCTTTTAGATTTTCTTTAGCAGTTAATACACAGCATTTTCTTTGCAGAGCCAAGCTTCTGGCTGTCGGTCGAACTGTGGTTCATAGACTTGGTAGGGGTAATAAGATTATAAAACATGTCTCTTGCTAGCCAGCTACCACACACTAATAATAATAGTAGTAATAATTCATTGCATCCAGGGATTTTAGGTGAGTTGTTTTTTTAAGAAATTGAGAAAAACCCTAAAAATAGATTTGAAAGGAAACAGGTCACTGCATCCACTCTACAGGGAGAGGAAACATGCATGTGATCGTTTCAGTGCCAGGCAATGATCCCTCCATTTTGTTACAGCTGAAATAATGCTGTCTTCTGCCGGTGACCTCTTCTCAGTTGCCCACATGCACATGTGCACTTGCACAAGGGAGAGGTGGAGATGTGACCACAGATGCTGCTCACAGCCCTACCCCACTGAGGGAAGGAAGACAGTGTATGTACGACGTCAGGCAGAGAGGAGTTTGCTAACTTTTTTCCCCCAGTACATCTATTGCTGTTGAGCTTTGCAAGTGTGTGGATTCAAATGGCTTTTGGACTGAACTTTTGTGTGGTTTGTATTGCCAATCCAAAATTTCAGGGCAGAGGCAGCCTGGGTTTTGTCGAAGGAGTCTGTGCAAGGCACAGATACCTGTTTCCATGAGGAGATTGCCCTTTTGCAGCACAGCAGAGGAGACATCAGTGGCTCTTTTGAGTTCAGGCTTCCTTGGAATGACACAATGAAATTTGTTAAGAACAATTTATTATTTATCATGGATGAAACTGGTGCATGTTGAGCTTTCTCTGCGTGCATAGGGTGCAGATGGTAGAAAAATCACCTTTTAAATATTACTTTAATTTATAATAGAAAAACTTTTACAGACTCCTGATCCCTCAGTACACGTGTAAATGTGTGCAACTGTGCTTCTCTCAGAAGATGGGCAGAGGTGCACTTTGCTCTTTGTAAACAGCCATCACTCTCTCAGCACTTAATCTTGCTGCAAACGTGGCTCCACACAAAAGCGAGATATTGCCCTTTGTCCCAGAGAGCAACAGGAGGATTTTATTTGACTCAGGCCATGTTATTTCCAGCTAGGCATACTAAAATGAGTTATTAAGGGGACCCCTGGAAAACAAGGGGTGGCTACATTCTGGCTGCTTAGCTGAGAGGTGCCAGTGGCTCCTTCTGCCAGGACCAGACCTTAGGGTCTGCTGGAGTGGCCACCTGGGACAGCAGGTTCACTCCCTGCCTCCCCCTGCTCCCTGATCTGAGCCTCACAGCCTGGAAAGGGCTGAGGAACAGGGCTCCGTTGGTGGCTGGGGCCCAAGGGAACGGCAGTGGAGCAAGCACGCTCCTCTAACCAATGTGAGACAGCGGCTGAAAAGGCTGTCAAGCACTGCTGTTTGCAAAAACAATATCTAATCACATAGCTGGATGTGCGTTGCTATTGGCACTTTTGTACCTGCTACAAAACTGTAATGTATTTTCTCTGCCCAGAAGCTTTCCATCTTAGAATCATTCACTGCCCAGAGACTTAGGAAGACCAGGTAGTGTTACTTTTCCTGTTGAAAAATCTTAATCTTATGAAGTGTTTTTTTGAGCACTATAGCCTCCTTACATCACAGGGCTTTGGAACAAATAATAGTAGATGGTAGTTCTTTTATAAAGCAAACATTTTAAAAAGCATTACTGCCTCTCTGAGGACTTCAGTTTGGATAATTGCAGGGCACTGGGGTAGGATAAACTTTGATTTCTGAGTGCTGATAACTTTGCTGCAGGCTGTGGGAGGGAGAATGGATTGTCCCATAGACACCGTGCTGACACGGCAGACCTGCTGGCTAGTGTCCAGCTGTGACTCCAGTACAAGATTCCCAGGTGGTCTGTAAACAACTTGGTTTCTCTGGGTAAATCACAAAAATGTTTTTCCATCTCACTGGTTTGTAAGAAAAACATTATATTTGTGTGTGTGTGTGTGTGTGTGTCACTGCTCATATGTCGTGGAGCCTGTCCTGACTGAATCAGTCGGTAGGACTGTCCTTGGCCACCCTGTAGGTCCCTGGCAGAGCAGTTACCACCAGTCTGAGATGGTTTAGTCTCTGGGGAGGTGTAGAGACTGGATGAGCACTTCACCTCTGACATTGGCTGGGTGTGTGCAGTGAAGTGTACATGCTTGTGTGCCAGATGCAGCTTGACCCGAGGTAAGATAAACAAGCCATAGGTATGCTGGTGCTGCTGCTGCTGCTAGGTTACATCCCTTACCATGCCAGGTCACCTGTAGCTGAGCGGTGTGGGCACACTGTGAGCCAACCGAACCAAAAACCCAGGCCAGCATGCCATACTTCCCATCCACTCCCCATGACCTCCTTCAAATCCACGTGGGTCTGGGGCATCAGGGTGGCCGCATGGTGGTGGGGCTAAGCTTTCACAGCCTGATGCTGAACTTCTCTCTCTGACAGGTGAAGAGCATGGACAGCCACCACGCCATTGGCTCCCAGTACCACATGTGCTCCTACTACCCACCTGCTTCCTACCTGGGACAGGGGGTCAGCGGTCCCACATGCTTCCCACAAATCCTGACCTCTGAGGACATCCCTTCCTCCTCAGAGTCAAAAGCAAGAGGTAAGTGCACCCACTGGGGCATCTGGGACTGCCTTGCCTTGGGGCAGGCACCCATGAGGTGTGAGTTGCTCTGGGAAGGAAGTTAGGCTTCAGAAAGTAGGCGTTTACAAGGTGGTAGCTGTTTTCTAAAAGGCTTCTAGTGTGCAGCGTAGGGCTGTTACTGTACAGTAGTGCAAGCTTGTTCTTCGGAAGTCTCCTGGTTCAGGAGTGCAGTTAGTTGTACTTTTATATTCCTGTGTACGTCTCAAGTTATACAAAGAGTCATCTGAGGTGCTGTCTTTGGTTCTCACCACCTGGCTCCCTCACAGGAACAAAGAATTACCTTTGCCACAACCACAGAATTATCTTATTTCTCTTCTCAAAAATGCTGTCTGCAGTTTTTTCAACAACCACTGAGCCTTTTCTCTCCTCTTTCTGAACCACATGTGGAAACTAATTCTGCATCCCAGCCATGTTGTGAAGCCTTTTGCTGACTCACTTCCTTGTTTGCTTTGAAACTCATCCCACCATGTTACTTAATTTAAAAATACTGCAGATAAATTTTTCTTTTTATTTCCAGTGCTTATTGGATGTTCTAAGGATTACTATAATCTGAAATAATTTCAAGGAAAGCGTTAGTGAATTTACCCTGTGGTTTTGACAGTGTTTCCCTCACTTCCTTGTTCCTTGCTCCAGTAGCAGGTAGAGTGCATACCTGCTACTATTAACATGGCCCTGCTGGAATAGACCAAATCCATTGAGCTGCTTCCCTGTTCCTGAAACAGGAGAGTAACTGATGCTAGAGAAGCAAGAAAAGAAACAGAGAAGGAATAGGGTGATCCTACTTTGCATGTCTAAAATCCTCACACTCCTACAGCATTTAAAGGTGTCCTGAGCTGTTGATTAGCTCTGAACTATTGTTTTGGTTATCAGCAGCAGACCTGCACTCAGTGAATTGAGCTAACCCTTCCATAAGCTTTCCACACTTCTTGTCTCTCTGTAAGGCTCAATGAATTTTGCCGTTTAATTTTGTATGGTCTATGGGAAGTACTTCTTTTTGTTTACTTTACACCTGCCAAATTTTTGTGTGGTTTTTTCCCCCCCCCCAGAGTCACACCACTGGCAACAGCATCCATCCACATTTGCTTCTCTAATACTCTTATATATTGAAATTAATCTTCCTTTTATATCTGACAGAAGGATGTGTGTTGTGTAGGTTCCATAATTGTTTTCAGACATGGCCTTTTTGTGCCAATGTTCTGGTGTCTGTTGCATTTGTGTTGTGAAAAATACAGGGATTGTGTCATCACAGGACCTTAAGGACTCGAATGAAGTTTTGGAAGGTGAGGTGTGCATAGAGTCATACCTGTGGCTGGTGTAAATCAGCACTAAGCCCTTGAGTTCAGTAACTCCAGAATGATTTGTGCTGAGGAGGTGGCTGCTCTTTCAGAGTGGCTGTTTTCTGACCGTCTTCCAACTAACTGTGACTTATCAGATAGATGCAGAAACAACATGTGGTGTGATGAAACCTTAGACTTTTCCTCCTTTTCTAGTAGTTCTAAATGGCTTAGCGAAATCAGTGATCCTTGGTTCATTTTCCTTTTCTTTTCTTCAATTTTATTTTCTTCCCTCTTCTCTGACCACCATTGAACAGTGACGTCTTCCTTTCTACTCATTGGCTGGAGAAGCAGTTGGTTTTATGCTCAACTGCAGTTGACGCTTTTTTTTGCATCCATCACTGCTAACTCACTAAGAAGTCTTACCAGTCGAGTGTTCTTACAAATAGACGAAAGACCTTATACCCTTTGTTCCCGAATGCACTTTAGTAATTTTTCATCACTCTAGAAAAAAGTTGTGCGTAATGTGCCACTGATTTTTAAACTGCATAAATACTGTATTTTCAATAATCCCTGACTGCTTCTCCAGACAGTATTCCACACACAGATATTGTTCCCTAAGTTACACCATCAATCAGAAACCGACAAGCAGTAAGATTTAATTTACTGAGATCAAACAGCATTTTCCAGACTCTGAAGAAGTGTTTTTCCATAGCAGGGAGCTAGTGGGTAAAAGAGGCACTACTGTTTTTGTGAGAAACTTGCACATGTGAGCAGGACCATACCCATTGAGAAGCATCTTCTTTCTTGTTATGCATGTTCTTGGAGGAGGTGACTGATTTAATTTTTTACATCTCAGGCTGTTAGTGATTTAGACTCTCATGATGTTTTTCTTCTGGTCCTTTTCATGGTTCTCAGAGTGTTTGAGATTTTTTGCCTGTGTTGTTATCTGTGTGACTGCTGAGTCAGCCAACAGGTTGTGAGTGGTGGATCCTGTGTATTAAAGAGGGAGGCCCCAAAGTACTGACTGCCCATGCTGCAAGTGCTGTCTCATACAAAAGACATTCTTATGCTTTTCTCTGTTGGCTGTTGAGGTGAACTTTCTGTACAATGCCTGACTTCTTTGTATGCAGCCTAGTGACATGTTTCTTCAGGGTTAGTGGTTGCTACCTGCTAAAGACAACTCTAGTGCATGTTTTAAATAAACAAATTATATTTTACTCCTTCCTTTTCTGTGGTTGAAGTGGTAACTGTGCTCAGAGACTTGTTTTCTTTCTAGGAATGCATGTTCATAAATTTTAGGTCCAGAAGGAAACATTAGGATCATCTCACTTGCTGTATAGTGCAGACTGTAAAACTTCACTTAATACCTCCTTAATTTTTTTAAGATCTATGTGAAAATTTATGTACTGTTAATCCAGAAATTTTACAGGGAGGTAACAGTGTGTATAGAAGAGCAACAGGTTAAAATATAAAACTCATTTTGGAGCCAGATTTTCAAAACATTGGAAACACATATCTTTAACAAAAATGGTTATTAAATTCCCAAGCACAAATTTGAAATGGTCATACAACACATGCAGTCTGTTACCCACACTTTAGTTGTAACTTCAGCTTTGTAGCAATTTTTCCAGTTCATGTATTATCTTGGTTAGTATTTCAGTCACACCATTTCATTAATTTTGTTCTGCTGAGTTGACTGCCTGCTTAGGCCAGCTTAGGCCAGTTATATTGGAAGGGGGGAGAAATGAGCTATCAGACTGCTGATTTACACTTTGTTTGTTTTTATGAATGATGTGAAGTTCTCAGGAAGCTTCCAGCATTTGTACATGAAGTCATACCGTGTTACAGTGTGTTGCATATAGTAATGGGCTGACATTTTCTGAATGGCAAAACACCATCAGTCATCCCCCTTGCAATCTGAAGTGGTTCTAAGTAAAATGGTTTTACTTCCAACTAAGCGCAGCTGCTGCCCTTCCAGCTGAAACTGGAAAAGATGGAGAGCAAAAGAAGATAAACCAGTGACAAATAGCAAAAGTATGTTTTCAGAGAGCTTTCTTAGATGACCAGGTTGTAAGCTTTATATAAGGAGAGGCATTTTGTACTCTACTTTCAAAAGATTTTTCCTCTCCTTTTTTCTGCAAGAGCAATGAGAGGAAGACATGTATGAGAAGCTGTTACCAGTCCCCGTGCATGCAAAGCATACTTTAAAACATGTCTTTCTTTTGGAAGAAGCTGAGCTGAGAGATCCTTCAAGAAGTGGAGGAATTAGAATGGATCACAATAGGGTGTTTTATCTCCAAAAGCCAAGTGCCTTACTCCCATTGATTACCATGGAATAGTTGCCCTTTTTTTTTTTTTTTTTTTTTTTTTTTTTTTTTTTTTTTTTCTGAAGCGGGGCTTCTTCAGGATTGGATTCCTGCTCAGAATTGCACAGCATCTTCCATTGATTTTGAGTCAGCCCATCCTGCACTTAGATTTGTGAAATACCCACACAAGAGAGAGCAAGAAAGTATGTGCTTGGATCAAGACTAGGTACCTTACTCTGGGTCCTATTTCCACTGAGTAAAAGTTGAGCATTTGCTTTTCTGTATGGGAGTGTTTTCCAGGTTTGGGACAGCGGCAAAAAAAATTCACATTCAGGTAGGAGGATGCAAAGGAGAAACGTCCCTGTATTTACACACACCTTTGTTTTTAAAGTACTTAAGTTGTCTTAAAGTTGTCATGGAATGAAAACTCCTCATTGTTATTATTATGCAAAATGGTGAGATAGTTATTCTGTGTTTGTGCCCGTGGTGAAGGAGATGGCTTGCATTTAAAATGTTGCTCTGGCTGCTGAATGGATTTGAATTTTTATTTTCCTGTCTAAATATCAGGATAGTTGAAAACACAAGTAATGAAGCACCAGAGCAGTGTTGTATTTGCAGCTTGAACATAAAGCAGGAGCCTGAAACTCCTCCCAAACACAAATAAGAAAAACTGATATAAAGTGTTCATTTTGACACAGAAAGGTTTGGTGTAAATCAGCAAACGCCATTTTATGAAGGAGAACATTTCTCGGTAGCAGGTTTTTGGTCAGCAGAACAGCTTCCAGCACTTTCCAAACACTTTCACAGTCCTTTCTAGAAGTTAAGTGGTATCCCCAATTTTACAGTTGTGGAAATCAAGGCAGCACAGACTTCTCCAGGGTCTGCGTTTAAAGATTCACCCTTGCATCTCTCTGTTTGGATGCTGTATGAAAAACAGTGACGAGTCATTGGAGAAGACCACCCAAACGGGAGTGGCTCTATGAAGAGCCTCTTCCAGTGGTTTCACAAGCAAGGGCATGTTGGAAACAGTCTCTCTGCTTAAGACAAAGTTTTATTTCAGCAAAACTATCACTGGAATGCAAGGAATTCCATGTGTAACAGAAACATGCATGAGAGGTCTTGATGTTTCTTTCTGACCTGGTTGCTGTGCGCCAAAGTTGTGCTCTTTTTTTTGAGGTTTCCTACATACAGTATTTTTGCATGAACCTGTGTCCTTGAAATGCAGTGCGAGACCCCAGAGTCACAGGTGGCACCTGGCTGTAGGATCAGAGAGTTCAAAGAGACCTCAAATGCAAAAGGTCTTTGAGACTGTGTCCTTGAACCTGAACTGCTTTCTGCAAGTATTCAGGTTACACAAATGGCCCTGCATCAAGGC